CACCCCACTCCTTACTCCTCTTGCCATTCCTTAGGGACTTTGCCCAGCTTATTATTTTTTAAGCAAACTTTTTATTCTAAAGTACCATGAGGTTTACAGAAAAGTTGCAAAGACAGTGCACACTGTTTCTATGTATCCCTTAAGCAGTGTCCCCTGCTGATAGCATCTTCCATTACCATTATACACGTGCCAAAACTAAGGAACGAACGTTACTATTTATTACAGCTAAGGAGCCAACATTAAGCAAACTCCACAGTTTATTTGGATTTCACTACTTTTTCTCTAATACTTTTTTTCTGCACCAGGATCCTATCCGGATATATTACACTAACTTGTCATATCTCCTAGCATCTTCTGGCCTGTACCAGTTTCTCAGACTTCCCTTGTTTGTAATGCCTTTAACAGTTTTGAAGAGTGCTGGTCAAGTATTTTGTAGAATGTCCCTCAATTGGGATTTGTATGATGTTATTCTCTTGGTTAGACTGGGATTACTGGGTTTTGGAGAGGAGGACCATGGAGGTAATGTACCCTTCTCATCACATCATATTAAGGGTACATATTATTGAGAAAGCACTGTTGATGTTAACCTTGGTCATCTGGCTGAGGTGGTAGTGGTTAGGTTTTTCCACTGTGAAGTTACTCTTTCCATCTCCCCTTTCCACACACTATTTTTTGGAAGCACAGCCAGCTTTCAAAGTATGTGGAATTAAGCTCTACTTTGGAGGCAGGAGACCTACATAAATTCATTGAAATTCTTCTACGTGAGAGATATATTTTGTCTTCCCTATTTATTTTTTCAATCATTTTTATATCAGTATGGGCTGTGGGGTATTTATATTTTGTTATAATCTAAGATTATGTTATTTATTTTGTTGATCACATTGTTCCAGCTTTGAACATCGGCAGTTCTTTCAGACTGGTGCCTGTGTGCCTGTGGCTTTTTTTTTCCCCCCAGCACTTCTTTACTCTTTAGCAGTACAAGATACTCCTAGTTCACCTTATGTATTTCCTGCCCTCAGCCATTTCTCCACGAAGGCCTGGTTCCTTTCATTTAGAAACCAAGATCTGGGTCCTGGGTGTGCTTGCTATCCATTTACTTTGCTCTCTCTTATTCCTTCATCTTCATCTGCCCCCTCCCTACAGATCGTTTCTCCTTAGCTGCTAAGGTACAACCATATTCAAGTACTTCCCCCATTCACCCTTCTCCATCCATGTCCCCCACTGGCAAACTCCCTAGCTCTCCTTTCATTTCCATTCAAGCTCATGGCATGGTCAATTTTTTTTTTTAAGATTGAGAGAGAGCACAAGTAGGGGGGGCGGCAGGCACGAGGGAGAAGCAGGTTCCCGGCTGAGCAGGGATCCTGGGATCATGACCTGAGCCAGAGGCAGATGCTTAACCGACTGAGTGTCCCATGGCATGGTCACATTTTATATGAACTTGCAAGTGTTACATGGGAGATTAATAAAGTGTAACCAGTCTCAGGGCTGGCACAAAAGGGTGAATGCAAACGACAGCACCCTGTGGGAGCTGAAGCTTCTAAGTTTGGCTCTCCCTACAAGGAAGACAGAGCTAAGTCACTGCAGGTGAGTCTGTCCACATTTGCAGAAGGCTCTGCTTCCTGCATCTACCTCAGTGGGAGTGATGCTTCCCTGAGAGCAGGCCAAGTCACAGACAAGGAAGATTGCACTCTTGGTTAATGATAACTTGAAACAGAAAAAGCACAGGAACTTCACATTGTAGAATGAGGTGGGGCATATATTTAAAGAGAGATGAACCAGATCTTAGATAAATCTTAGAAAAAGGAGGCAACTTTGATTTTTACTCATGTATATTATACCAGAACTCTCTGGATGCCTGGATCTTCTTTGAACACCATTACCAGCTTGAACTCAGACCTGAACTCAGCCCTTTACCAATTCTCCCTGAATGATGGATGTCAAAACTCATTAAAGCTCAAATATTACTGTTATTTTCTCAAATCTGGAGAGGAAATAAGCAGGCAGGTTCTCTCCCACACTATGGATTATAAGATTCTTAGGTATAATTCATTTCTCCTCAAGACTTTTCTTTGCGTATGTATGTTCTTTGTGTACTTTTAAATTTTAATTCCAGTATAATTAATATACAATGTTATATTAGTTTCAGGTGTACAATATAGTGATTCAGTAATTCTATACATTACTCAGTGCTCATCAAGGTAAGTGTACTCTTAATCCCTTTCACCTAGTTCACCTCTCCCCCACCTACACTTCCCCTGGTAACCACCAGTTAATTTTCTATAGTTAAGAGTCTGGGTTTTTTTGTTTGTTGTTTCCAAGACTTTGCTCTTTAATTTGTTATGTTAATGCTGGTCTCTTAAGGGATTTTTTTGTTTGTTTTTTAAAGACTGAATACTGGGGGTGCCTGGGTGGCTGAGTCAGTTAGGCGTCTGCCTTCTGCTCAGGTCATGATCTCAGGGTTCTGGAATCGAGCCCCACATAGGGCTCTCTGCCCAGCAGGGAGCCTGCTTCTCCCTCTCCCTCTGCCTGCCATTCTGCCTGCTTGTGCTTGCCCTCTCTCTCTCTCTGTCAAATTAAGTAAGTAAATAAATAAATAAATAAAATCTTAAAAAAAAAAAAGGACTGAATACTGATGCAGGTCATATTCAGATAACGTATTTTAGGAGCTCACAGTAAAGTTTACAATAGGGAGCTCTGTGGTTTTCTTGGCTCAGTCCATACAGGCCCGCTGTCTTTTATTATTTCATTTATGTCTCCATGTAACATATAGAATGGAAAGTAGGTCTCAGGAAGTAACAATGCTGGCATTGGAAACCAACCAACCAGCCAACCAACCAACCAACCAAACGTTGTTCTTTGAAACTTAAAAACACAAAACTAGTCTTGGTACTGTAAAAGGCACTTATGGAACCCTTCAATCCTAGGAAGATCTGACTTAAGAAATAATACAAAATATAAACCATTTACTTTTATTAGGTCCATTTTAATAAAGTGTGTAAGAGTTTACAACTCAAAACAATTATTCATAAAAACTATCAGATACATAAGATAGATCACACGGAGAGTGCAATAACATAAATCCAATAGTCTGCAAATAGGAGGTATCGCAAAAACTGTTAAGATTGACTTTATAAATCTCTTTTTCCCTTCCTTTCCCATGTTCACAGCCCTTAAGATTGTGTGCACATACTGTTTCCTGGGGTCTGATGACCTCAGTATTCCTTACAGCTGGGTCGACTTCCTCAGTCAGCTCACAATGTTTTGTCAGCAGAGTTCACCTCTTCTCCATGGAATGAGCATGGTCCTTGGCCTTTATTTGGTTTCTGTGCCCTAACAAATGACATCAAACACTCTCTCTTTCAAAGGAACATCTTGCAGGCCTTGCGCTGTTCTGGTCGCTACTATCAGTCCACCACCACACGTGAGCCAGGGGTTCAGGCCAAGTTTCATCCTTGTGGATGAGAAGAGCATGCTTACTGTGGAAACAGGCTAAGGCAATGGCTGATTTTTCCCCACCTTTATCTAAAACAACTCCAGTTCTTTGAGTTGTTGGCAAATGGGACTGAATTCACTCAAGCCAACTACCTACTGTCACCACTTGATATTCTTTGCATGCCTTCCTAAGGAGGTCTTAACACCATGGCAGAAAGCATGAGGACACACACACACACATACCCTCTCCATTCACAATCCTCAAATGGGAGTCTTTGGTAGACTCAGAGAATACAACTGTTTTGCCATTTCAGAGTGAAAAGGCTACATTGTCTTCTCTCCCTCCCAAAGTCTCACTTTATAACTGACATTGTTAAAAACCATTTCTGCAAAACAAAAACAAAAAAACCAAAAACCATTTCTGCAATTCCTTGCCAAAAGGAATCAAACAGATCCCTTCAACACGCATATACAGTTCTATCATAACGCAACGCAGATAACATTGACTTGATTTCAAGAACAAAACATTACCATAAACTCGAAACAGTGTCACCCATATTGAGACTGCTGGGAAGTAGCTCCGACTAAATTTCTTTTTTTTTTTTTTTAAGATTTTATTTATTTGACAGAGAGAGACACAGTGAGAGAGGGAACACAAGCAGCGGGAGTGGGAGAGGCAGAAGCAGGCTTCCCGCAGAGCAGGGAGCCCGATGTGGGGCTCCATCCCTGGGATCATGACCCGAGCCGAAGGCAGACGCTTAATGACTGAGCCACCAGGCGCCCCACTCGGACTAAATTTCTTACAGAATTACAAGTTCTGGGATTACTGGACTGGAGCCACCAGTGTGCTGGTTAACTGCCATTTTTACAAGGTATTCCAGAGTCCCTTCACATCTAAACCCCTGCATTCTGGGGTACATAGGGCCTGTATTAGATCATGGTGGAGAGATGCTTTTGGGTTGTGTCTCCAGAGTAGGCTGGACTTCTGCCAACCTTCCTTCATCTGTTCTTCTAGTCCATAAGAAATGGGGAAGGTGGGCCATTTCATTCTTATTTGGAATTATTCCAGTGTGGTGAGATTATCATAGGTTAGGCTGAAACTTAGGAAGAAACTGTTTATGATAACAAAGGCACAGAAAAATTGACATGATCATTCAGTCATACCTCTCATCATCCACTTATTGGTATGGCTGTAGCAGGGGAATGTTGTGAGGAAATGCAGTCAAATGCTCTACCCCTGAGCTATACCCCCTTGTTAAGTGAGGAAATGAAGTGGGAACAGGAACAAGGAAGGTGACCCAGGAAGACTTGCAGGAGTAGAGAAGAAGCAGGAAAGAGCTGAGTCTGGTAGTGTTTTAGAGATGGGATGTTGGAGACCACACACGAGGCCTGTTTCCTAATAAAGGTCAAGGTACAAATGAGGCAGGGAGGACCAGGAAGTGAGAGAGCAAAGTGGCACCTGGGGAAGCCAGACACTGCCGGTGTGGGTTCTTACATCTAAGCTGAGGCATCTAGTTGTTTTCAGCAACCTAGAGGACTTATCCTGTAGCAAAAGAACACAGAAACAATTCCCAACCAGATACTACTTTTTTTATTTTAAGTGAACTTGACAAGTTTGCAAGTGTTCTGACGGTTTAAAAAAACAAAACAAGTAGTTGTTGACAAAGGCATTGAAAAACGAAGAATTTAAATTACATGATTCCATTTAAAATCCTCATGTTTACTCCATCAGGCAGGATTGGAGGATTAGAACCCAGGGGTGACTCTGGGCATTTTACAAAGTGCTTCTACCTCCTTAGAAGCCGCAGTCTTTCCAGCGGCTCTCCTATGTACCTTTTATCAAAATGATCTGAGTTCCAAATTTCTCAGGTAAAACTGCATCTATGCGACCAGCAGCCATTCCAAAGTTGACTGGCATGTGTTCTCCAATTTCAGTTCCAAAGACACAGCAGAGAATAACAATTTTCTTTATTAAAGGCACCCAAGTGACTCCATTTTAAGTTGCACCCTTCCGTCTGGAGAATGAGTTGGATCTCACCCTTCTGCAGTTTCCTATAAAAATTCCTACTTGGTAAAATGCATACATATTAAATGACCTATGTTCTGATGATTTTTCTTTATCAGCATGATTGAATTTGTACTGTCAGAGCATTCTGGTGATTACATTTAAGTAAAACTGAAATCTGCTACTTTACGAGTCAGTGAAATGTCCACCAAATGGTTTAAAACACTGATGTGCATGTACTCTAAAACTTAATAAATAATGGGCCAAAAGATGCTGGTATTTGTTCTCGAAAGTTTCAAGAAATGTTGGTTGCCAGATTAAACTCAGACCTAACGTGGGCACGTGAACATGTACACACATCTACACATATGAAATTTTCAACTCAATAATGATTGAGCCCAAAATGAAACTGAATTTATGACCTAGATTCCCTTAGGTCCTGCCCAGCATCTGCTTCTGCAGATTTTTGTTTTGTTCATTCCATCTTCCAATCTAACAAGAACTGGGAGCTAATGGGCCGTATGTGAGCTACGATAAATATATGGTAAATATTCAGGTAAATATTTTCCACCATACATAATATAACTTCATTAATTCAACAGTGCCTGTTAGTCATTTAACACAGATTCTTTAAAAGAGTTCATCAGTGCATGTTGTGGTTCAATTCTTTGTATCTAAATATATTCTGGCTCATTGCGCTCCACTGAAATGAAGTCACAAGTTCTTGCATTCCCTATCAGATGTGTAAAGCAAGTAACACATAAAACTAAAAGGTGTAGCATTTTGTTGACTATATATCTTTTCTCTTTAATGTTAACTTATTGCAGTATAGTTGTTGGAAACATGCATTTGCTACTAATTCAAAGCACCCTGAGCACTCCTAATTCCCTTAACACTAAATTTTCTAGAATTCCAGATCCAGAATGGCCTCTGGGAAGAATATTTTATCTTTAAATGATGCATTTACCCTATATGATCCAAAGATCAGTGCAGAATTTACTAATCATTAGCTAATAATTAATGTAATATAGTCAAAAATTTTCATGCATCACTCAGTAAGAACACAAGTAATTTGCATGTGTTTACGTTCACTTCCTATTCAAAGAATGTATTTAGAGTCTCCACCCATCATAGGTCTCCAGTGAGAATAAAAAAGGGTTACAAGCCCATGCTTGACAAATGATTCAACGGTGTGCTAAAATCACTATGATTTTGATTTTACCTCAAGGGCTAAAATGGCTACTTGATTATGAAGAAGTGATTAAATAACCAAAGGAAAGACATTTTGCAGGGCTATTACAGAGGTAATCCTGAGTATTTGGAAGAGTGAATGACAATGACCTTCCACTTGAAGAGTTCCTGACTTGGGATGAGAACTCTCCCTGAATATTCCTATCCTCTTAGCGCCTGCCTTGGAGGGCTTTACTTGATAATGGCCAAGGGAAGAGGCTGGGGTGCAAAGTTCCATATGCCTTAGCCCAAACTGTTTATTCAACTGGAAAGATGATTTTGCATCCACTGTTACACACAAAAAAAATCAGAAATAATCACGGGGAGAAAGGCAAACTCTTAGAAGGAACATTTCACATTCACCAAAGTGAAAGACTGGCGTGGTTGAAATCTCAGTTGTAAAACCATTGCCGATAGCCCTGATCCAGTGCCAGTTATTTATCCTTTAACCTGGACGTTTGAAATAGGTGGAGACCAAACTAGAAAATGTCTTGAAAAGTTGCTGTTCATATTCTATCCCTAAGATTCCTGAATTTCAAATTTAAAGAGTATGACACCTAATCAACTGCAATAGAGTTTGGCATTCAGGCTTGATCCTTGGATGAATTTCCAATTCTTACTGGTTTGGTAAGCAACTCTCCCAACTTTTCTAGCTAATGGAGACATCACTGACATCGATTACAAGTCACTGGAAGCTTTCAGGTTGAAATATGGTGCAGCAGCTCTTTCCATTAAATTGAACCTTCTCAGCAGAGATCTTCCCATTGAGACACAAGTTTCACCTTAGGGCACTAATAATAAGGGGAATGGAAACAGCTGGGAATAAGTCAGATCTTTCCAGAAATAGAAGACATTTCAAAAACACAAGTCAGTCACCTATCTGGCCTACTTCGACATCTACAGAGAATAGAGAATTAAATTTTCATGGATAGCTGATTCAGCTCTTTACTCTTCTCTCAAACTGATTTACATGTCTCAGATTTATTTTTCCTCAAGAGGCAGTGGAGAAAGGTAGCAAGGAATTGGAAAACACAAACAAGTATGCAAATCTAATTTGTAGCCTAGTCTCATGATTAATTAATGTTAATGTCATGAGGACAGCATGGAGTGCTCAGACCTAAGGTTTTTAAGTACTTTAAAATATTACTAAGACCACATACCCAATGGTTAGAATTGGGACAAGGTACTCTTTTCTATTGTTCTGAGGGAAAAAAATCATAATTTTTTAAGACCATGTAAATAGAATTTGTTAATAGCAAATAGCAAACTTTGGAGGAAAACATCTACTCCGTGAAACCTCAGTTTCAGCAGGATTCTCCTACACCTTCCAATGGATTCAATCTTGCCACAAGACAGAACTAAGTAAAAACAGGGCTCAACTCAGTTAGGTCAGGAGACAAATGCCAGTAAATGAGTGATTGTGGAGGTAGGCATAGTGAGACAGGATTTACCTAAAGGAAAACCGATCCCTGCATGTGTGCGTGCACACACACACACACACGCACACATACCTGTGCATAGTGATTTAAAAAGCATGGGCGTGGGAAGGCTCAATACTGTTCCACACGAGCACAAATATCTCATCTGTTCGCATTTCTACATAGGAAAGGGTCTGACACAGGTTACACACCCACAAACACTCGTGTGAGAGGCCAGCCTGGCTCGCAAAGACTCCGCAACAGACCCAGAGAATCCTCTGTAGAGCTGCTGGTTTTACAGGAATGATTAGTATCTGCAGGATTACACTTCCTCTTGATTTGCAGGATTTTTATCTTGCATTTCCTTCCATAAATATTCCCTTTGCAAGAGAATTAAATCAAGTCCTGAAGGGACTAATCTTGAGTCCTCAATGGGTAAGACTCAGAACAGGAACTGCAGGAAAACAAAAATTGCAGTAACATGGCCCCTTTGGGGTTGGGGTGAAGTATTTCTGGATTTAAACAGTCTTGGGGCAAAAAAAGAGAGCAGAGTTCTGGGCAGAGGTGGAGATGGAAATGTGGGCAAGTCCAGAAATCAATATAAACAAAAGAAATGAGCATAACTTAAAGGGGTTTCAACTAAGTATCACTGCAACTGAGTTTGTTGTCCGCAGAAATTCTGCTCTGATATATGGAACTGAAAGATAGTAACTGGTGTATCTCTTCCGAGACAGGCTCAGCTGGGAGTGATGTGGTAGGTACTGGGCGGGGTGGGGGGAGGTGGTAAAGACAAAAGGCCTGAAGGCTCAGGTATCGCTCCTAAGGTTTCTGCTTGCCTGATTTTGAAGGAAAGGGTGCTAGAGCAAATGGATCCACGGCTGGCAGCTCTGTAGTCCTGGAGGAAAGGGATGTGATGGAAACAGAGCCAGCTATCGACTGTTTGTTGGTCTGTGAAACAATTTTGTAGGCAGCGATGGGCTGGGCTTCTGGACTTGACTCATCTTCTGGGCTATAGTGACGGGAATATTTGGATAAAGACTGGGGGCGGAATGGTTTGCCAGCCACGGGGCCTGAGACAGCTTCTTTCTGGGGCTGAGGTCCTTTGTTTCTGTCATTAGGATGGCCCCCAGATTCCAGGGAGGATCCCCTGGGAGAGATGCTGTCAGGATGGTCTGCTGTTTGTGCAGAATGGGAGGGGGGGTTAGATTGCGGGACGAAAGCAGCCATGGAGTACTGAGCTCGGACGGGGGCATACGCTGCTCTCTCAAGGCCTGGGAGCAAAGGGACCTCATCAGTCTGACTGAGGAGACTGGCCTGCCCAGGCAACTCCTGGGAGGCGCTCTGGGCAACTGATAACTCCTCCATGCTCTTCTTCTTGGTAAAAGGAGCTCTCAAGAACACGTCCGCCTCCTCTGGCTGGGAAGGAGCCACACTGCCCTTGGAGGCAAATGGGGCTTTGGAGAAAATATCCATGTCATCAGCTGGAACCCTTGAGCTCCTGAAGGGGGCTGTGGCAAAAACATCCGGCTCCCCGAGACCGTCCGTGGTTGGTTGTGGGAGGGCTTGGAACTGGTTCTTTCTGCCACCCTGACCTGCCTTTGCTTGCTCAGTAGAGACCTCTGGCTGAGCGAACGGAATAGCTCCTCCCAGCTTCCCCTGTGGAGGCTTGCAGCTCTCATCCTCTTCTTCAGACTCCATGAGGAGTGGTCGAGACCCACTGCAGTCCAGCATGTCCCCCTCGAGATCAGTCCCTTCCTCTTCACTGCTGTGGAATGAACTGTTGCTTGAAGGGCCATCTCGGGCCAAGTAGTCAGATTCTAAATTGTTCTGCGTTTTCGTGCCAGGTACTCTCGAGGGGTCTGGATACAGGGGAAGGCCTTTAATACCGGTTGAGTCTTTAAAGTGCTCTACAGTTATTACAGGACAGGGATTGGGCTCTCTCTGGAGACCTAGAAAAGCACAAAACGCAAAATTAATGCATAGATCAGTTCAACTCTCCTCAGAACATTTAAAATGGTCAACCCGCGGCGGAAACATTGTGGGACCAAATAATAAAGTTTGAAATGGAAAAGGAAAAACAGAAAAATAAAAGTCAGGCAAGGAAACGGCACACAAACTGGAACACAAGCAGTCACTGTCTCACATTTTGGAACATGACAGGCACAGTGTACAGGAAAGGAGATGACGATGTTGGGCACACAGACACTCAGCATAACCACACAATGCTCCGACTCGCGGGGCCAGGCACTGCCTCCTGTTCTACCTGGCACTGGCTCAGGGTGGGATGGAAACAAACCCAGTCGCTCAGCTCCACATACACCGTGGCAGTTCTGGATTATGCAGAAATACTGTCTGGGGACAAATGCAATTCAGTAGCGGACATGTGGTCATCTGCTCCACACTGCCTGTATCTGAGGACAGATTCTCAATCCCAACCCCCCCACAGCCCCCCCCAGAAGAGCAGCAGAGCACAGCTGCTTGATAAATGCAAGATTTACATCATGAGCACTACTCAAAGAGCACAAGAGTGCCCCAAATGCCAATACTGAAGGCGCTTTCTAAGGGGAGGAGACATACTCAAAATCATATTAAAGAAATCTCCTTCAGCTGGAGTCGCTGTGGAATTTTGTTTTCAATCTTCTAAGCTAGCAAAGATCTCCTCCGCTTAAATGAATCTATCACAAAGTTCTTTAAGCAGAAGGAGCAAAACACATGGGTAACTGAAGAAATATTTGCGAACTCTAATATACTAGTCTACTTCTAGCTAGATAGACGTGCCTCAGGGTGCTCTGGCTTTTAAAATCAAATAGACAATTATCAGAATGCAAGAGAGCTTACCTTCCAAGAAATATTAGCAGGTTAGAAGTATGTCATTGGGCACATGTTAGCAAGAGGGCAGGAAAAAGGCATATGTAACTAAGTAAGAAGAATCCAGAGAAAGGGCGGTTGGGGGTAAAGAGATCATTTCATCATGGGTTTCCCAACCCACTAGGCATTTGGTACAATGCTTTGGATTCTGTAGATGGCTTGGAACCTCTGTACTGAGGTAATTCCATCAACCCCTCCCCATGTTACCCTCTCCTTCCAGGCAAATCATTAGCTAGTAGAAACTTCTGCTAACAATTATCCCCTGCTAGGGTTTCTGCTTGAATTAAGCACACAGAACACATCAGAAGCGGCATCAAAATCAGTTTATTGGGAAACCAGTCACTTAGAGACGTTACATTGTAAAGAGATGTAGAGAGAGATCGGAACATTTTAGAAGATACTGTACAAAAATACTACAGTTCTCGGAATTCTAGAACTTTTTAGCAGTGCTTCTTTTTAAACAGCTCTGATCTTAAATGATCTTAAATACTGTTCTCAGAAACAAAAAAAAGGTGGGTGTCCCCCTCGTTTTCTGAGTTTGAATGCAATCAATGAATTTCCAATCAGGAGTCTTTAAGTGAAATTCTGTATTGGTGCCAAACAGCTTTCTGAGTAGTGTTTGAAGAATATGATTCTGAAGAGCATACATTTTTTCTTTGCGTTGCAGCTTGAGTATGCGCACCCGCGTGGCGATATGAAAGCGTTAGTCAGCTGATAGGAAGCACACGGAACATCTTCTCTCTTTGCAGTATATGTGAAGAGACATAATCCTAACCTCTCAGGCAAGTATATTGTTATTAGTTCTGTCACTGTGATTCCTAGGTGGTGATTTCTGGGAGGAAATTCAAATGATAGGGGGCAAAGAGGCTTTCCAAAATAAGATTTGCCTAGCAAAGGGGCATGGAAGCTCCCCTCCCCCAAGACTCCTTGAACCACTTTCTAACATAGCATCAGCTAGACAAAGTTTTCAGTCGCCAAAACCAAGGCACAATTTCTCATCTTCCAAAACTACCCCAAAAGCTGGCGTTATCAAGCTGGTTCTGTGGGAGAGCAAAGTATCTTTTAGGGGAAAAATGGTAAATTTAGTCAAGCCAATGACCAATTCTGACATCATACCGATCAATAAGGAAAACCAAACACTAGTTTGACTGGAGTTAGTGTTTTTGGGAAATTTAAATTGAATTCGGTCAGATCTGCTTGTGTGCAGAGAATGCCAACAAGCAGCTACCTACAGAACCAGGGGCGCTTTGGATGCCTGCAATGTTGGATTATACTTTGAGAACTATCAAATACCAGGTAGAGGAGACCATATCCAGAGCTGGACGGGATAGAAGAACATGCTTAACCTAACCAAATTACTTTAAAAAGCGGGTTCTTGGTCAACTGGAAGCCTGTCAAATTAGCATATTCTGGGACCTCGATATTACATAATAGGAAAATCATACCTAAAATTTCAAGAACTTTCAAAAACTCACAAGCCCAGTCACAAAAACCCTGTGACATTGAGTCTGAAGGGGAAACTTGTTTCCTGTTCTTCAAAACAACGCCAGACATGTTTCTATTTTTCAGCAGGAATCTGCTTTCTAGGGTTGGAAAACTACGTTTAAAGGATTTTCCCGAGAAGGCCAAGTCTCTTAACCTCTTCATTCTTTTTCAAGAAGGTGTAGTGTGACTACAGCAGAGAGCAAGCACCCTTTGCAGCTCTCCCAAGCCGGGCATTCTGGAGACCATAGAATGCCGGTGGGTTTGGGGAAACACAGACATCCATATGCCCTCAGCACGAGACACAAAGTCGTCAAGAGAAGGAGAGATTCTAAATAACTGTAAGCAGAAGATGGACATTAAATCTTGTTGGCAGTTAGAGGTCTTTTCTGGAATGTGAGTATGTATGTTCTTGTAGGGAAAGCATGTGTTTTCAAGGTGAACAATCCTTGTATAGGAAAATGGCCTTGCACTATTAGGAAAACGTGTTTGAAGCAGTCTGGCTACTAGCAAAGAAGGATCTGGACTAATTTAACCTCATGTCTTGGCCCCATTCCTCTGGCAACCAATAGCATGCACAGCAGACACCCCGTGACCACAGAGCACAATAAAGCCAACCAGTTGTTTGTGAGGAGTGGAGGCCTTCAATCCAGGACCTGGTCTCATAGGCTACGCAAGGGTCTTCCTTATCATGAAGCCTAAAGTAGGGCATTTTGCTCTGATCCCCTCAAATTGGGTTAGGTCTCTTTTAATTTTGGTTTAGTCCCATTAAATTAAGCAAGAAGGCAAGACATGCTGTTTTTTCTTGCTCTCACGTAGGACTGTGTGCAACGTTACGCGTGAGCACACTTTTTGAGACTTCTACGAGGGGTAACTCCATTTTAGTCTATTTTGAGGCTCCAAATTTATGGAGATTTCAGTAAGAGTTCATATGCTTGACAGAGTAGGACAGGAGTCCCCAAAACTCTCTGATGACTTGGCAACTCTCCTCACTAACTGCCTATTAACTTTCAAAGCAACCGTAAGGGCTGAATGATTTGCGGTAGGTTTACCCTGGGGATTTGATCTGATGAACATAATGAGGGGGGTCGTCAGAGTGCATTCAGAAAAATCAGAATCTGAAGACTGAAATTCCAGGCTGGATATTCTTTAGTGCAATACATCACACACCGCCAGCATTTTACTTTCCCCCACACTGTAAACTGAAATCTCAGTTACAAGCAGTATCGAAGACATAATTCTTGCTGAAAACTGAAAACGAAGACTTGGGAGTCCTGAGAAATCTTCCCATACATTTGGCATATAGAAAGCAAACTACCCCTTCACAAGAAGGTCAGAAATGCAGCACCAGCTGAAATTCACACTCTTGGAGCCAAATCAGGGAATCAAGAGATGTACATCAAATTAATAATTTCCATGACCTTCCCCAGCTTAGATAATAAAATGAAGGGTTTGGTTCTACCCTCTGCTGTGCAGTGACATTAACACCCGTGCCTGGGGAATAGGGATTTGGTGGGAGCCGATGCAGGCCAGTGATGCTGTGTCTCTCAAACCAATGGAGCAATGAAATGAGAGAGCTTTGTCCCTGGGCATAAAACTGCTGGTGCCAACATCAAATGTTTGATTAAACTGGCCTGGGTATGTCGAAGATGAAATCCGTGCTCCACTTGCAAACCCGAGTCTAGTCTATCAAATGCAGGCTCACAGGGGTTTTCTTCCCCCTGACTGCAAAGGCAAACCTCAAAAGCCATGACTCAGTAAAAGTCCTCAGCACGTGTCTGCACTTTCCTTGTGCGCAGGTACTTACTGTCACTCAACAGTGGGTTTAAGTCCTTTTTGCACAAGTGGGTTTTCAGATCAGGAAAGCGGCAGCTACTGTAAGTTATTTACATCTGTGAACATCAGGCTCCTGTTTGAACAGGTAAGTCTTTATTCCCCTGTACGTTTACATAATAAATTGTTTACAGACTTTTTTTTTAATACAATACTGGCATAGCAATGTTTAAATTTCATATTTTTACTGTATAAGGTAGCTTCGCGTACCTCTGTTTGCTTTGTCTTCTTGGGGAGGACATGATAACGACCTGTGGTAAATATACATCCATGTGACAAGGGGCTGTGCAATAGGGTGGAGTAGAATACTCACAGGAAAAAGAGTAAAGTCAGGACACTACATCAGAGTGGGAACCAAGAAAGTGTCTTCCGTTCAAGCAACCACCACCATTTGGTAGCTTTGCATAAGTTAGCATTACCCAAAGAACCTCCCTCCTCCACCTTAGTGAACGGAAGGAAACCCAGGATAAACAAAGGAGTATCTTGTTACAGATTATTTGAAACAGAGGCCATCTGGGATTCATTTTGACTCAAGAAACCCAAGTACATCCAACTTCAGGAACATGACTAGTGTGGAAAATGAAAAGACTAACTTTGTGTTGGTAAAATTATAGTCTCTAGAGAGGAATAAAAGATAGCTTTGTATTATCTGGAGTGTTTCCGTAAAGATTTCATTTTAAATATCCCTCTGATAGTTTCTCTGTTCTGCCCGGCAGCCTCTAATTTGCTTAATTTTGTACTTTGGGCAATCCTGTCATTTTTGTCCCTAAACTCTAAGTTAGTGGCTACATGGTCCTGGTAATGTCACAGCCAGAGAAAGTTAAAGACTCCTGGAAATTTAGACAAACATCATCATGGAAGACTTTACTTTGGCCCAAGGTATCTACAGTGTGCATTTATTCAGCTAAACTCAGATCCCTCCATACTTCTGGGCTGAGGTCAACCCCAAAGGTCTTCTCCTTCCTCTAAAATTGCTGAAGGCGGACTGTTCCTGACCTGGGGAAAACTGTGTTAGTTTGAATCAAAATGATCAATTACCTGCCAGGAGAGCAGGGGAAAAAAGTATTATAAACAAAACTAAAATTTCATCTTGAGAAAAACAGGTTCTTCTTGAGTTTGTTCCCCTATAATTATTAGCAATCCAAGTTCTATAATTCTAATTGAAGAAGAGCCAAGTCCAATATCAAATGACACCGGACACAGCGACAACTTCTTTCAGAGATTATTTTAAAATCCACATCTTTCCATTTTCTAAACTACCAAAGACAGGTGAAATTATGGAAGTTCCCTTATTCAGAATAAAGGAAATTAAGACTGATTGTTGTCACTTTCCATTATAAGGTCCTCTCTGGGAATTTTCTGTGGATTATTCCTTTTACTGTCTTTAATAGTAACCACGCTTCATGGCGGGGAGTGGGGGTGATTTCCCTTTTTGGAAACAGCGAAATGGGATTCAGAACCAGGAGTCATGGGAAAAGATCAAGAAAGAGAACATACTTCCAGGTACTGAAAGCAATGCTAATTAGATAATAATTCAACGGGGCACCTGGGTGGCTCAGTTGGTTAAGCGACTGCCTTCAGCTCAGGTCATGATCCCAGGGTCCTGGGATCGAGTCCCGCATCGGGCTCCCTGC